GGAAGGGAAGCCATTTGTGCAACATCTTGGAAAGCTGACCACTATGTGGAACGAGCTGAATGTGCATCGACCACACACCATCGACGCTGTTGTGCTAACTAAGAGAGCCGAGGAAGACAAAATATTTCAACTCCTAGCAAGCCTGAGCCCTGAATTCGAAGATCTTCGAAGCCATATCCGCATGAATCCCGACCTGCCTTCTTTTTCAAATGTGTGTGCCACAATTCAAAGAGAAGAGGTTCGAAGGAAAGTTATGACCTTGGACATAAAGGCAAATATACCAGAAGCTAAGGCTTACTTCTTTAACCAAAAATTTGGTGAGGAGAGAGGCTACAAAGGAAAGAAAATTGGCTTAAAATGTAGCCATTGTGATGCTGATGGGCACTTAAGAGACCGATGCTGGATTCTTCATCCAGAGTTAAAACCAAAGTTTCCTAGGAATAACAAAGGTGTCTCGAAAGGCTCGTACAACCCTTCTTACAAGGCAAATCATGTTGCCACAACTTCTTCTGAGAGAGCACTGAAGTTCACCACTAATCCAACTGCACTGATCAACGAGTTTGCTATGTTTCTTCACAAGAAACAAGGTCTTGGAGATAGTGAAGGACCACTAAATCAGTGTGACAACAATCAAACTGCACTACTAGGACAATTTGCTGGCTTCCTGGCTGGAAATGAAGGCGTGGTACAAAGGGACATGCCAGGTATCTTACACTCTTTCTCAACTGCTCTCAACATTGGTAATGTGCATGATTATTGGATTATAGATTCTGAAGCCACTGATCATATGACTAACAAGTCTACAAACTTGTATAAATTCGAAATTTTTTCTATTCCATCTCAAGTGTCAGTTACCAATGGAAAAAATGCTATGGTTGTGGGCAAAGGAAAAATACATTTGATCTCAAGTGATGTTGAGTCTGAGGCTCTTTATGTTCCCTCATTCCCTTTTCAACTTTTATATCTTGGCAAGATCACAAACTCATTAAATTGTCTTGCCATTTTCTCTCCAAAAAATGTGATCTTTCAGGATGTGGTCACCAAGAAAACGATTGGTGAAGGATTTTTCTTAAATGGTCTCTACTATCTTTCCAAGCATATTCAAGTTCCCAAGGTTTTTCAAGTCACTTCAAGCTTACCCCAAGAACAACAACTTTGGCACCAACGTCTAGCACATCCTTCTGAAAAAGTTTTATCCACCTTGTTCCCAAACATGTGCAAAGTTACAAGTCCTTGTGATGTTTGTCATTTTTCTAAGTTTACTAGATTACCATTTACTTCCTCTTTGTCTAGGGCTAGTAATCCTTTTGAAATCGTGCATTCCGATGTTTAGAGACCAATTCTAGAGTCTTTTGATGGATACAGATATTTTGTAACTTTTGTGGATGATTTCACAAGGATTACTTGGTTGCATATTTTGAAATGTAAAAGTGAAGTGATGGAAATTTTTCAAGATTTTCATAGACTTGTGGCCACCCAATTTGCTTCAAAAATTCATATATTACGATCGGATAATGACACATAATATATGTCTCATAACATGTCACACTACTTGAGCACGCATGGTATATTACACCAAACAAGCTGTGTTGGAACACCTCAACAAAATGGGGTGGCCGAGAGGAAGAATAGAGATCTACTTGAGAAGACTAGAGCTCTTATATTTCACATGAATGTGCCTAAGAAGTTTTGGTTTCAAGGAGTTCTTACTGCGGCATATATCATCAATAGATTGCCTAGTAAAGTGTTGAATTTTAAATCACCTTATGAGGTCTTGAAAAATAGAAAGATCAACTTTTCCCATTTGAGAGTCTTTGGGTGTACATGATTTGTTCACATTCAAGCTCAAAATCGTGACAAGCTAGACCCAAGGGCTGCCAAATGTGTCTTTCTAGGTTATTCATCTACCCAAAAAGGTTACAAGTGCTATAATTCAACAACTAGAAAAATGGTTGTTTCAAGGGATGTTAAATTTGAAGAACATGTTCCTTACTTCTCACAATCACTGGATTACTCTAGACATGGGGAGAATTTGATGGACTTATTTCCTTTTCCATATCCAAACGGAGAAGATGCAACATGCACTCCTAGTGATCATGTGCCGGATGATGTTAATCTTCACTCGGTGGAACATCTTGAAGATGAAACCCCTTCCTCATCGGAGATTCACACTGCACCCTCCAGTGATCATTCCAACCATGATGTTGTTCAAATACCTGTAGTTCAATCTCTTACAGTTCGTCGCAATCCTGCACGAGAGAGGAAACTTCCATCTAAGTTGCATGATTATGTGACCTACACTGCCAGGTATCCCGTGACTGATGTTATTGACTATAGCAAAGTCTCATCTTCTTTTGCTACATTCCTAAGTGTCATTAATGAAGCTCGAGAACCTCAAAGTTTTCAAGAAGCCAATCTTCACAGTGAGTGGAGAAATGCTATGGCAGAAGAGCTTCAAGCCCTCCATGAAAATAACACATGGACTATAGTGAAACTTCCAAAAGGAAAGAAGGCAGTGGGGAGTCGTTGGGTGTACAAAACTAAATTTCATTCAGATGGCACAATCGAAAGGAATAAGGCTCACTTGGTTGCTCGAGGTTTTACACAAACCTATGGCGTCGATTATAAAGAGACATTTGCTCCGGTGGCAAAAATGAACACTGTTAGAGTATTGTTGTCGGTTGCAATTAACAATGCATGGCCTCTCTTTCAAATGGATGTTAAAAATGCTTTCCTGCATGGTAAACTTGAAGAAGAGGTTTACATGAAGTTACCCCCTGGTCATCCTCAATCAAACAATCCAGAAATGGTGTGTAAACTCCATAAATCCATTTATGGTCTCAAGCAAAGTCCACGTGCATGGTATGCCAAGCTCAGTCATGTTCTGGAAAGGGTTGGTTTTTGTCGAAGTATTGCGGATTCTTCCCTATTTGTTCGTTCCAGCTCAGTGGGTAAACTAGTTGTGCTTATTTATGTTGATGATCTAATTATGACAGATGATAATATGTCAGAGATTAATGCTCTTAAACAGTATCTCAACAACAAGTTTGCTATCAAGGATCTTGGCATTCTCAAATACTTTCTGGGCATCGAGATGGCACACTCTCACAAGGGTTTCTTCCTCAAGCAACGCAAGTATGTCATGGATCTTCTTCACGAAGCAAAAATGACAGATTGCAAGCCTGCTCGTACCCCATTGGATAACAACTTTAAGCTAAAAACTCACGGTGATCCAGTTCCCAATTTAAGTTACTATCAAAGAATGGTTGGCAAACTCATTTATCTGACTATCACACGTCCTGATATATCATATACCGTCAGCATTGTTAGCCAGTTTATGCACTCTCCAAGCATGGATCATTTGAAGATTGTTCATTGTGTGCTACGTTATCTTAAGGGTTCCATTGGTAGAGGAATTCTTATGCGCAACAATAGTCACACTCAGATCTCAAGCTATACCGATGCTGACTGGGCAGGCAATTCTCTCGATCGCAAGTCTACCACTGGGTTTTGTACGTTTGTGGGAGGCAACCTAGTTACCTGGAAAAGCAAGAAACAAAGTGTTGTTGCACGCTCTAGTGCAGAGGCAAAGTATCGTGCTATGGCGTCGACTGCTTGTGAACTTATTTGGCTCAAAAGCCTTCTGTTGGCTTTAGGTTTTCCTCATCAACAACCCATGTCCCTACACTGTGATAATCAGGCCGCGATGCACATTGCATCGAATCCTGTATTCCATGAGCGAACTAAACATATTGAAGTTGATTGTCACTACGTCAGAAATCAAGTTCAGTCCAAGGTGATCGATACTCACTACACGTGCAGTCATGATCAACTTGCGGATATTTTCACAAAAGGATTAACCTCTGCTAATTTTCAGCGTCTTTTGTTCAAGCTTGGATCAATTAATCCCTTTGATCCAGCTTGAGGGGGAGTATTGGAAGAAAGAATGGCAACTAGGGTTAGGTTAGGTTGCATGTTCACCGTACAAAGGATTTTAGGGTGATAGATAGTGTTGTCAATTCCCTTGATTCAAGGGATGTGTCTTATTTGTCTTGTTGTCAATTCTCTTAATTCAAGGGATGTGTCTTATTTGTCTTGTTGTCAATTCCTTTAATTCAAGGGATGTGTCTTATTTGTTCTTTTTTTGTTAGCTTTAGACGTAAATTAAGGAGGGATAGATAGTCTTGTTTTCTTCCCTCTAGCACATATATATTTGCTATCTCTTGTACCTGATTGTCTCATGATGAATATACCATTCACAAAATTCAATAAATTCTTATCAACTTTTCAACTTTCTTAATGAGCCAAATCTGCAGATATGAAGCCAACATTTATATATATATATATGGATAGGGGAGCAAGACATTTCTTAATCAGCTTAAAAGGTTGGCTAGTAGCTTAATTTAGCTATTCCGTGAGCATATACATGGAGAGGGGTGCAAGACATTTCTTAATCAGCTCAAAACTTTGGCTAGTGGGCTAATATCATCTAGGGTCCGTGTGTTTATGTATATATGGAGAGAGATGAGTTACATATCTTAATCATGAGCTCAAAACGGTCATCAAGTGAGAAGCAAATTGCGCTAGAGGTAGAGTACGTACTGATCTTCATGGATTAGAGAAAGAGAGAGAGAGAGTGAGAGAGTGAGAGAGTGATTAAGATGTGTTTTATTGGGTATACCTGTATCTGAGGTGATACTCTCACGAATACTATTCTTGTATAAGGTCGGCTCTTATCAAACTACGCTGGTTTCGGTTTTATTTCTCGATTACTCATTTTCATACGACAAACATTTGTGTCAATCTCTCTTAGAAACATAAGGTACATGATGAGAGAAGAAATGAGAGAAGAAAAAGAATAGGAAAGAAAAATCAACAACATTAATAAGAATATAGTGTAATTACGGGGACATGGTAGTATTCTTTCCTATATATTTACTTCTGGTTTTGATTTGATTTGATTTTATTTTGTGACTCCAGTTACATAAGAAGGTACAAAGATGGTAGATGACTACTCTTTTACTGTGGACTTGAATAAGCCTATTGTCTTCCAGGTTACATATCTAATTACTCTTTGCTTTAATTAGCATGGATTTTTTCTTATAGTGTTAACACTCCTTCTACTTGTTTTTTCCTAATTACTTCTGGTTTTAAATGATTTAACTTCTTACAGCGTTTTGGAACTAATTTTACAGGTTGGCCATCTTGGGGAAGCTTACTATGAATGGGTTCATCAACCTATTATTGACAAGGAATGCCCCAGATTCTTTGCAAATGACTTTTTTGAGGTATTAGTTTAATCAAGATCATATAATATGGACTTTAAACTTGCAATTATTCCATTATTTTATCAAGTTTTAGAATGCAAATCTTGGTAAAACTTCTCTACTAAATATCATCAACCTGAAATTGACAGCTTTTGACCCGCACAGCATGGTGGGTGGTTCCAGTTGTTTGGCTGCCTGTAGCATCCTGGTTTATTTCCAATTCTTCTCGAATGGGGCTTACTGATCATCCCGATCAGCTTGTTTTAACTGTGGTTAGTGGCATCTTTGTTTGGACCTTGGTGGAGTACATCCTTCATCGCTTCCTTTTCCACATGAAAACAAGAAGCTACTGGTTGGTTTTTGTATCCCTCCCTTCATTCATCCATGCGATCAACATAATAAAACTATTTGTACGATATTAAGTGACTGCATATTTAAACTTATTACAAACTCTTTAATAGGCTTATTCATTCAAATTAAAGCAAATCCATGCAAACTACATATAGACCTATTATACTCTTTGTGGGTTTCATTTTTATTAAAGATCGATGTTAAGTAGGTCAGTTATGATGATATTAGCATCTCTATACTTTTTGAATATATAAATGTGTTTGTACGTTCTAATCATAGAGCGACTGTTAGAAGTTAAAATGGTAGTTTGAAAATAGCTATGTACACTCATAGTTGGAGTGATAGAAGTTAAACTAACCAAACCCTAGATGCATCTGCATGAGTCTCATTTTGATTATAGAGAGATTGACGACAAATGCTTAATTGAGATGGTAGCTATTAACTACATTAGAAGAGACATGAAACTATCCAAATTACAGAAAAGAGGAAGATGAAGATTCAGAAGGAAATCAAAGCTTGTAATGATAGTTACAGAAAATAAAAGAGAATTTACAATTTATACTAGCCTACGAAGTAAATAACTCTAACCTTCGAACAAACTATTCCTAGACCAATCTCCACCATTCAATCATTAATCAATCTCCACCATAGATCTGTTAATAGTAGCAGCACTCAGTTTCTTAATCACTTTTAATTTGTAGGCGAAATACCATTCATTATGCTATACATGGCTACCATCACAAGTACCCTAAGGATGCAATGCGACTTGTTATGCCCCCTCCAGCTGCCGCTGCTCTAAGTGTTCCGGTATGTTCCATCACCCACTCCCTTGTAATTAGCGCTTCTCTCCTCAACTTAATCAACGTGTATGTATTCTATTGCATGGTCTGCTCGTGTCTGATAGTTTTGGTTACTGTTTAAGGTTTTATCACCTCCATCAGTAGCTCCTGCTTTGTTTGGAGGCGCTGTGTTGGGATATATAGCATATGATCTCACTCACTATTACCCGCACCATGGAAAGCCTTCTAAAAAATCTACTCTAAAACTCAAGGTAATTAATCATTTTCTGAGGCTGTTTTATTTTCTATTTCATTAATTAATAATCCTCTCTTGATTTAACTCTAAAACTCAAGGTAATTAATCATTTTCTGTGATTAACAGAGGTATCACTTGAACCATCACTTCAGAATTCAAAGCAAGGGATTTGGGGTCACTTCCTCCTTATGGGACTATGTTTTTGGAACAGTTCCTTCCACAAAAGCTGCCGAGAAAAAACAGAACTAATTAGGCCATCCTAACCGATGGCTGGCCAGATGGCCCGTTTTAGCCTTTGTCCCCCCAAGATTCTCCAAGATATTAATATTTTAATGAACAGTACATGACCATATTTGTCTCCATCTCCAACCGAGGGCCAGAGGGCCAGAGAGCTCGTTTTAGCCCTTTCATAAAAAACCGTCTCCAAGCGAGGGCCAAAGGGCCATAGGACCAAACATAATTTATTATTTAAAAACTACAACTTAAATTCAAATCCAATGGCTAAGTGACGTCAGCTAGCTGTTGGATTTGAATTTTTTTTTGCTATAAATAGGGTGGATATTGGGATATAATTCACACAACTTTGAATTCAATCTATTTAAATTCAATCTCTTTCAATTCAAGTTTGCAATGAATTCCAACTTTGGATCCTCTTCAGATTCCAACTGGGGGTCCTCATCCAATTCCAAAAGAGAAGCAAAATGGGCGCAAATGAGACGAGAAGATGAGGAGTCTGATGAAGAAGTTCAAGTAAGGCACAACAAACAAAACATAGCAGCAGCCATGGCTGCGGCCATGGTGTGTCAGCCAACTGAGGAACAACCTCAATGAGGTGGCTCTATTGTTAGTCGCTTTTACAAATCACGAAACAGAGCGATGACGCATGCCAATCTGATGAACAACTACTTCGACCCCAACTCGGTGTACACAAAAGAGGATTTCAGACGTCGCTTCCGGATGAGGCGTCATGTCTTCGAGCGTTTACTTTGTGATGTCCAGCAGGTCAATCCGTACTTTCGACAGAAGCAGGACAGAACAGGCCGCCCTAGTTTCTCACCTCATCAGAAGGTTACTGTTGCACTCTGAATGATGGCCTATGGCTCCCCAGCTGATTCGATTGATGAAACCCATGGTATGTCTGAGTCTACATGCCTTGATACTCTTCAAGAATTTTGTGACACAATTGTTCAGCTTTACAAAGACGAGTACCTCCGCGAGCCAAATCAAGAAGATCTGAATCAGCTCCTTCGCAAAGCTGAAGACTGTGGGTTTCTGGGCATGATAGGGTCATTAGACTACATGCATTGGGATTGGAAGAAATGTCCCACTGGATGGCAAGGAGGCTTTAGCGGAAAAATTTACATTATATGATCATCATGACAACCTATGTTAATGATACAACATATCATTATATTATTAGTACGAAATGTTAGTGTAGTGATGCACCCGCCAAAATTGAAAACCCTCCCTATAGTCATCATATGATGAGTAGAGAGAATCTCTAGTCACAGTTGGGAGAAAACGATAGACATTTTTTTTTATAAACAAAAAAAATGTGGGAAGTTTCGGGTTTGATGTTCCGAGCTGGTAAGTCTGTTTGACTGTGATCATAGATAAGGTGAAATTTTCCATAACCTCTTCAAACAAAAAAAGAATGGATATCCGTAGTTTAACATAAGTTGTTTTTTTATTTTTCTTGAAAAGGACGATAGACATGTGGCTTAACCATTAGTTAACCAAAACAGTTGGCGCCGATTGGCAGTTGATGCAGACCAATGGGAACGATTGCCCTTCTCCTACAAAAATATCTCATGTGCCCAAAATGCCCGAAAGCCCCAACCAAATTCCCCTAATTAACAAAGTTACCATAGCGGGACCCACAAGACCGTTTTTTACCCACACACTCCGCTGTAAAAAGAAAGTTGTTAACACAAACTTGAAACAGTGCCAGACTGGCCACACAGTTAGAAACTTGGAATCCAACGTGAGGATCGCTGGCTGATTCTCTGACGCCCGTATAAAACCGACGGCCCAGATCTTCCCATCTCGTAAAATCATCCGTCACCGTTCGACTTGAATTCCACAAAAACGGAGAGAGAGACTCAGATTTTCCTCTGCCGCTGCACCAACGCTGAAACCTCTTCTAGTGGTGGTGCGGGCGGTTCACATTCTAGAGGGCGAGAGGAACGAAAGGGTGTTCGTGTTCTGTTGTTCTCTTGCATTGGATCCGACCCGGGTTCTCAATAGGTTAGCCATTTGCTCTCCCTCGTCTGATTTTTTTTATTTTTTTATTTTTTGTGCGATTTGTAGATCTGGGTCTGTTTGTTTTTCGTGTTTTGGTTTGGAAAATTGTGGCTTTTGGGGTTTGATTTGTGGGTTTTGAATCTGGGTTGGATACGTGCATTGTGTGTTTTCTTTTTCTTGTCGAACAGTGTGATTTGTTTTGATTTTATGATGCAAAATGCTGTTTGGTTGGTGAAAAATTCTGAGAAAAAGAGGAAGAAATCATGGGGTTTGAGACTAAAGCATTAGTCTTGAGTACTCTTGAGACTGTTTGATATTGTGTGGGGCCGTTATTTGCAGAGTGAGATTATCTGGGATTGATCTGTTTGGTAGCTGGGAAAGTAGAGGGGAAAGGGGAAAGCTAATAAAGTTTTTGTCTTTAAGAAAAAAAAAAATGGATCTCTTATGAATTGATTAATTGCGAACGAGCATCTGTGTGGAAATTTCTTTCATGCATTTTGTTCTGGATACCCTGGCTCGCTTTGTTGTCAAGATTCGTCGTTTTTTCTCATGGATGCATGTTAAAATTGATTTGAAGAAAATTCGAGGTTTAGATCATTCGCGATTTACATCAATTCGGCAGTAAATCCATTTTTGTTGGTGATGCTTGTTACTGCTTCAGCTTGATAAGTTTAACTTTTGAGGAAGTTAAAGAGAACTATCCTTTAACTTGTTATTGTCAGTCAGACTCGGTCCATAAGATTAAACTAGAGATGATATTATAATCAGATATAGTATCATATACCAACCCATCGCATGTTACAATTTTTTTAATATTAATATCTGAATCCTTACGCTGCTGTCATTAGATCTTTTTGGTTCTTGCGCCTTATAAATCCGCATCATTGAACTTAACGTATTAGTTTTGATGTTTCTCCAGCAGTGTTATACGTAACAAGATGGTTGCGCAGGACTTCCAAGTTGATTTGAATAAAGCCCTCGTGTTTCAGGTAAGGCTCCCAGTGTTTTTGTTTTTTATTCTTTTATGTGAGCCAATTATGTGCGCTAGATTGCTCCATTTGGATCCGAGGCTCTAAACATTTCTTGACCCACTTTGAAGATCTTCAGTCTCTTTGCACGGGGACATTTACTGCTTATATTTGGCACCTCCTTTTCCTTCTCTGAAACTTCATAGCATGTTATTTTATTTTTTATAAATATTTGATCTTGTCGCCTGTCTCACTATATTGTATTTGATGATTGTATTGAATTTTATTGTTGTAACTTTTAGCTTTTTACAATCTTTCACAGGTTGGCCATCTTGGAGAAGCATACCAAGAGTGGGTTCACCAGCCGATTGTCAGCAAGGAAGGCCCTCGATTTTTTGAAAGTGAATTTTGGGAGGTACTGCCTCCTCTTGTTAATCCATTACAATTTAGTTTTCATATACTCTTATGGTTGCACAATGCACGTGCACCTAGATTGTGTGACTTTGCGGAGCTCCACTTCTGACTCTATTTTCTAATTGAAACAGTTCTTAACCCGCACTGTGTGGTGGGCAGTTCCTGTCATATGGCTACCAGTTGTGTTTTATGCCATCTCAGTGTCTGTACGGATGGGCCATACATTCCCTGAAGTTGCTCTGACAGTTGTTGCTGGCATTTTTGTCTGGACATTGATGGAATACACGTTGCACCGCTTTCTTTTCCACATTGAAACAAAGAGCTACTGGTTTGTTTCTTACAACTCTTTCTCCCACTGTTGATGTTCTTGTTTACGTATATACCATATTGTTTGAATTTCTCTGAGACTAATGCACTTGTTTTGCTGAAACTGCTTCAGGGGGAACACTTTACATTATCTTCTTCACGGCTGCCACCATAAGCACCCAATGGACGGCCTGCGACTTGTTTTCCCTCCTGCTGCGACAGCTATTTTATGCATTCCAGTATGTCTATTCTTCCATGTCCCTTCTTGTCCTGCCACGTTATCATTATGTTTTGTTTAAGAATACTGTGGCTAATGATTATTCTGGGTCAAATTACTTATTTTTGTAATGGAAAGCAAAATTACATGTCCTAGGGCCATGACACATTGCCTTGAATTTGATTAGATAGGATAGCTGAGTTACTGTTCTGGGTATTAAGATTGCATAATTGTCATCTTGAGGTTTACTTAGACGGACCCTAACATAATTACTATTGCATCAATTTGTCTAGGATCGTTTTATATGAAAAGAAAAAAGTTCATTACCAATCGTAACTCTATTGTCATTTGTTGCCAGTTCTGGAACTTGGTGAAGCTGATGTCTTCTCCTACTTTTGCTCCTGCTTTGTTTGGAGGCGGTTTATTGGGCTATGTGATGTATGATTGCACCCATTACTATCTTCATCACGGTCAGCCAACAAGTGAGGTACCCCGAAATCTGAAGGTAAAGATCGGTACACCTTTCATCCTTGCAAGAATTTTACCCTTTTAGACCTAAACCTCTGTTTGCGTTATGGTCATCATAAGAAATTACAAATCTTTTACGCTAGAGCATCTGAAAAAACAGAAAGTTTCTGCATTCGGGAACTAGTCATTGCTGACGAGAATAACATGGGCTTTGCTTGTTTTTGCAGAGATACCACTTGAATCATCACTTCAGGATCCAAGATAAGGGCTTCGGAATAACTTCAAGCATATGGGACAGGGTGTTCGGAACACTTCCACAACCGAAGGCAGCCAAGAAAGTTTGTTAGGATAAGCAGGTGAAGGGGAATTTCGACATTAATCTTGTTTATTTTTGCTGTCTCCTAAATTTGTTGTACGCATGATTTATTTACGTCTTCGGGGTGGCATGGCATGGCATGTGGATGGAGGTGTCAATTTTGGTGGTGCTGTCTTGTATAAATTAACATGATTATTGTCCATTGCTTGGTTTATGGAAGGAGACTTTATCCTAGTTGTCTACGTTGCCTTGGCTCTCAAGCTATCTTCTTGCATGTTTTCCTAGTGGACTTTTTCAAAGTTTGCAATCAATCCCAAGTATTATTCTACCTCGTTTGTTGACTTTAGCTAAAGCTTTGAGATTGTTAATTGTATGGTCCCAACTTAGAGAGAATTACAATCGAGAATATATTCTCGTGTGTTACGACATTCATAATTATTGATCAAAAAACAAAATCCGTCATGACATACTTGGTGACGCTACAGATTTTCATCTTAAGTAAATAAGATGCAATTCTCAATTAGTCTCCCACGATGCTGGAATGAGGGGATAATTGTGGTTCGGCACTAGTTATCCTTCTAAAAAAAAATTGGCATTGCTTTCAAATTTGGAGCAAAGTCGAGAATGTCAATTCATGTAGAATTTTGGCATCACCTTGAGCCATATATATTTTTGTAAAAACAATCCACCTGAGAATTTTGATACCTTCTTTGAAGATGTTCTTATTCTCTATTTATGCTAAGTAAACATGCCATTGAATGTCTCAATTACAATAACGAAAATAAGCTTCAAAATGTGTACTAGAAAAAAAAAGTTCATTGAAAGGACAATACTAGAAAAAAAACAGTCCACCTGAGAAATTCAGGAGTTATAGCATGGAACGTGGCGCGTTCATGGTCTTGACCAGCCAACGCTCATTTCCATACGTAATGACATGAACCAATAATACTGCAACACTTGTCCCCCTAATTTTGAAATATATCTCCACCAGGTCCACTCATATTCGACTTTGCATCCCGTATTGGGCTGGGCTGATTGCTGGTTTGAAATGGACTTGGATTTGATTTTGGGCTGATACCAGAATGAAGTTTGGTCCAAGACCTTTCGTCAATTTGGGGTTCTTTAAATTTTTAACTTACATTTTCTAGTGATCCACACACACAGTGAGAATTTATTTATTTAAATATATTTTTTTTAAAACGATATTATTTACATTAAGATAATAATATAGACTCAATTTGACAATATGCAAGTATAATATGATTCATGTTTACGAGAATCGAATTTAAGATCTTTTACGTAAATATCACTAAATCGTAGTACTAAATGACAAATAAATTAAAAAAATACAAATAATAATAAATACGCTTTTCTTTTTACCTCCAACTCTCCAGGACATGTTTTTTAATTTTATCCTGTAGTTCTGTTTGATTTATTTAATTTGTGAAAAGTACTTTAAAAAAAAAAAAGATCTCGTGGGGTTTAAGGATCCGATTAGGAACCGGATTTACCGACCCAAAACCATTTAGGGTTCCTCTCTCTCACTGCCGGTATTTCAAAAGTCAGTTGTGAATGCTAGTAACATAGGCGGTTGCGTTCTCTTCTTATTCAGATTCTCGCTCTCTTTTGTATTGAGAGATTCATCAACGATTTGGGGATCTAGGGTTTTTACTGCTTGTTAATGGGCCACTTCAACTCCTTCATCCCACTGCAATAGAACCAGTACGACTCTCTCTCTCAATTCGTTAACTTTTCCCCTCTCATTTCGAAAGCTTTTTGCCTTGCCGACATGATTGCAGCAATGGCGGCAGACGTGCCAGTGAATGCCCAGGTGGTCAATTCGTGCTGTGCTACGGTAAAGATTTCAAATTTTCAATTTTTTATTTAGTTTTCAAAATTTTCAATTTATTAAATTGGTATTCGATTTCATTGTTCACCCAATTTTATGCTTGCTATGCAGTGGAAACAGAAGTACTCGAAGCTCGAAAAGGGACGGAATGCACTGCGGGAAGCTGTGCACTTACTTCAACAGGAGGTTGAAAGAGCTCAAGCCGAGAATTCCAATCTCAAGACAGGTAAATTTTTTAGGATCCTTCAGACATTAAAAATTTAGTATTGTTAAATAAGCTGTTGAAATGTTAATACTTTCTTAACATGGGTCACTTGGATTGTGGATTTGATAACGAGTTTCATGACTGAAGCTCCTTTCGGGTAGATGTAAATTGGGTACCTGTTTGGTTTATGTTGAAAAGTTTTAAAGTTTAGTTATTTGTCAAAGCAGTTTATGGTTTTTGGAGTTCTCTACCTGTTAGATTTGTATGTTTCACGTTAAACACTATGGTTCTCTCTTGTGTCGAAATTTAGAACCAGATGCAAAACTAGGTTACTTAAATGAACTCTCAGTCAATATGCAATGTTAGTTTGTATATAGTTATGATAGAGAGTGTGGTGATAACTTTTCCAAGTGACTAACCTCCTTTTCTTGCTTTTGTAACTCTGTACTTTCAGCACTCGAGGAAGAACGATCACGGGCAGATATTGAGAAAGAGGAGAAAGAGAAAGCATCTGCTGCTGGGTTATCTTTGGAGAAAGAAATTTCTAGGTTGAAATCTGAGATTTCCGTAAAGCCGAGAGGAAATGTAGATGCCCAATATAAAGGTGAAATAAACCTTCTCAAAGCACAAGTTTCTGACCGGGACAAGGAAATTAATTGTCTCAAGGATCTTATTGAGAGAGAGAAGAAAAGGGAAGACTCAGCAAGTAAGAATGCCCATGTTGAGAAAGAGGAGAAAGTAAAGGAAACTGCTGCTAGGGCATCTCTGGAGAACGAAATTTCTGAGTTGAAATCTGAGATATATTCTCTAAAGCAGAGAGGAAATGCAGATGGTCAAGATAAAAGTGAAGTAAACCTGCTTAAAGCTCAACTTGATGACTATGAAAAGAAAATTAATCAACTCAAGAAGCTTATCGAGAGAGAGAAGAAAAGGGCAGACTCAGCAAGCAAGAATGTAGAAGTGGAGAAGAAGAAAGCTTCCGAAGCACGAAAATCTGCTAAAGCTGAAAAAAGTAAGACTGATGACGAAAGGAAGCGTGCCAATATTGAAAGAGAGAAGGCTGAGAATTATGGGCTTCAGTTGGAGGTACTGAAGAAAGAAGCTCATAAAGTAAATTCTGATCTGGCTTCTGAGACATTGAAGCTTGTTGAGGCGAACCGGAAGCTTGAGGGAGAAAAACAGAAGGTGGTCAAGGAGAGAGAGATTGCAAATTCAGAGAAGGCCAAGGCTGATGAACACAGGAAGTTTGCTGAAGCCAATAGGAAGATGACTATGGAAGAAAAACATCGTGCTGAACGTTTATCTATGGACCTGGTAGAGAGTAGGAAAAGGGTTGATGAGTTACAGAAAGAGATAAATGAAATTAGGCCTTTAAGAGAATTGGATGAGGCTCCAAACGCACAATCGTTTAACAATAGAAGTGGTGTAGCTTTCCAAGAGAGTAAATCAGATGAATTGAAATTGGTTTTGGAGCATCCAAATTTTGAGGAACTGAACAAAAGGTATGAAATTGAAAAACAGAAGGTAATCAAGGAGAAAAAACGGGCAGAATCAGAGAGGGTGAAAGCTGAAAAGCAGAAAAAGCTTGTGGAAGTGAATTGGAAGAAGGTGATGGAAGAAAAATCTCGTGCTGATCATCTGTCTAGACAGTTGGAAGATGCTAAGAAGAAGATTGAGGAATTATCCTCCAGAAAATTAATTGATGCATCGGCTGTCGAACTTCGAAAAGATAAGGTTGATGAAAGTGCAAAAGTGAAACACTTGAAGAAACAACTTAAGTTTGAGAAAAAGCAAAGAAATCATGCTAATGAAGTGGTCAAGCTGGAAAGAAGTCGGAACAGCATCTTGCAACAGGAACTAGGTCGCATGGAAGTGGAGTTTGATCAATTTTCACAGCGCCTGGGTATGCTAAATAAGGCTTTTTCTCATAGTGCTGAAGGTACAGATGACCTAAAAAAGGTTCGTTTTTTTCAGTCTAATCTCTAGTGCTACCATATTTCAATTTGATTTTGTAGATAATAACTTAGTATTGTTAGCTTTCATGATATTGGTTAGGAATCTAAACTTGGAGCAAAACATGCGTGTTTTAGGATTTGCTATAGCTACTGTTGATTTATTTTCTTTTTTTCAGTCGTCGTTGATGACAAATGAACCTTATTCATCTGATGGCTCTTAGTGTTGTAATCTGGTGGGTAGAGAATAAGTGTGCTCATTATTCTACTTTGATGCTTGGAAAGTTCTAGACTAATACCATAATAACACTAATATGGTTTAAAAATAGGTGTCTTAAGTTGGTGAGTCATTTGTTTGAACTCCACCCTCCAGCCCTGAAACATTTCTTCTACCTATTGTACTAGTCTAGTTGTAGTTTTGTGTCAAATAGTCATGTTTCCTTGTACATGTGACTTAAGTCAGTTAGCCTTTCAAATATTTAGTTTTGCTTCTAATGCATGGATTTTGATTGAATGTTTATGGGGATGTCTTGTCTTTAATAAGCACAATTTTTCTTTCTTGGCTTTTACATTATTTACCCCAATGTTATCAGTAGTTTCACAACATTGTAGTCTTGTTCTGTTTACTGAAATGGGCTTGTGCAATTTGTAGATGAACCTTCAAAGTGGAGTTAAGCGTCTCAAGCCTGGTTGCCCAGTTTTGGATGCAAGAGAAGCCACACAACATACTGCACCGTTTCTTCTTTTATCTGGAGGAAACTGCACTGATTCTATTTCAGGTATTGATTCTATACTGGAGTCTCCAGTCAGAGGCTCTAACCGAAAAATGTTACAGAGTTCTGCAATACATTCCAATAGGGAATCTTTTTCTGATAGACAGTTGGTGGGCTCACAGGAAAAATTGGTTGAGGAGAATGTGCAACCAACAATATCCAACTTATCTGCTGAGGTTACCAAAATAAATTGCAATGAAAATGCTGCTGTGGTTGCCGAAAACAGTGTCAGAAGTCCTTTTAGAACTGATGGGGTTGGAAAAGTTAATGAGCATAGCAGGAAAAGAAAGAGGATACTTCATGTGGTTGAATCAATTGAGGATTTATATACAGAGGGTAAGAAGTTGCACATGCGGATAGAGGAAAACCTTTCTGTCATGCATTGTTTGTTGAACAAGCAAATGGAAAAACATTATGAAGAAGGGAGATATCTGCTTCCTAGTCTGCAGGGTAATGCAATGCACGGAAAGCTATATAAAAAGGGAAATGAAGGTATTGAAGATAAACTGGCAAGGCAGAAGTATGCTGACAGTGATGAGCAAAAGATGGCCAATAAATTTGAAAATGAAGTCTTTGGATATGCAAGTATCTGCAGACAAGTTCCATCAAATGCTAATGAGCTGATAGGGGTTGCTCAAGCAATCAGAGAAGCTGCTACAAGTGATTTTGAAACGTTGGCAAGTTTTGATGAAGTAACCGATGGGAACTACCTGAAACTGTTAGACTTGGACAATGCTTCTGATGAGGAATGCTACAGGATGGCTATGGAAGTGCCACTGTCTCCTACACTTCCCGAGATTGACGTTCAAGGTCTTGAAGCATCTGGTGCAGATAATCTTAAACCTTCATCAAAGGAATCCTACTGTGAAGGATCATCAAGTAAAGAAGAAAAACAGTCACCCTCTTATGGAGTTGAAGTTGATGCTGTTGACATACTAGGGAAGAGCGGGGATGTTTTTGGTAATTCTGTTACGACGACAAAAGCTCGTGATCTCAAGGACTCTGGTACTCAACTGATGTCTGATGCTCCGCTTGCAAGAAATGTGGAGGCTGTGTTCCCCCTTGGAAGTGAACTTGGATATCTGGTGTTATCTAATTTTAAGGACAGTAGCAGCATTTCTAGGATATGTTATGCCTTCAGAGGTTGTATTACACGGTACCCTTTAATTACTCACACAGATTGGAGGGTGCGAGAAATTCTGCTTGCTCTCAAGACTGAAGAAAAACTATTACCCAAGTAAATACTCACTCTCTCTCTCTCCCTCTCTGTTTTTCAGTCCTTATATTGATCTAATCTTGTTTTATTTTCGAACTGCCAGTTGGTTTAGATAATGTGGTCTTGTGCTTAGTATACTAGTGGATATATGTGCTAATTGATTTATTTTTGGTGATCCTGTATAGGGAAAAGGTTTGCATATTCTTTTCATTGTTGCTGCTTAACTTCTCCACTGCTGCTCTGATTAAATTTGGGAGCTTGAATCGGACTTCAAACCCCTGCTTGGATTCTTATGTTCGACACATGTGCTCAGGTTTGTTGTTTTTTTTTCCTTGATCATGTTATGTCATAATTTAGAAAAACATTATTAGTTTCATCCTCCATTTTGGTATTAAACTTATTGTTTTTTTTCTGTTGTGCAGTGATGTCTGATTGGGAGGGGAGAAGCATATTTGCAGAATTTGGTAGTTTGGAGGAATCACTTAGTATCATGGAGGATTCCCTAATAAATGGAAGATTTGTGGTGTGTAAGGATTATTCTTCAGAGACCTTGGTTGATGGGGTTCATGTATCCTCTCGACCAGCATCAGCCGATGAGTTGGTAGCAGGGAGCATTGTTTTAGCATCAATATGTGCAGCACTTGACCACACTGGTTTTATTTGCGAAATGTCCTACAACATTTTGCAGACTAGCAGGTCCAATCATTCATTGGTTCTGAGTATCCTGCATGTTTTTGCTTATCTGGGAGGAGAGAAGTTTCTTAACTTTGGCAATTCTAATTTAGTGATTATCATGAAATCTATAGTTACACATCTCGAGGGAGTAAGCTCATCAGATACTGCTAGTTCTTTTATTCCATCTGTGAGCAACTCTCGAATTATGTTCAGTCCATGTGTCAAATGCCCATTCTCTGAGGATTCTGTCTCTGTCGACGCTGCTACATCATTGCTTTTAGAAAGGCTCCAAATGAATGCTTCTGTTCAACCAAACACTTGTACCAGTTTCATGCTTTGCGATCTCAGCAACCTCCTATCATTGGTGGAGTTGGTTGCAATCATTATGGTATGTTTGAATCCCTTCTGAGTTTAGAATTTTCTCAACTCGCCGTTATCTTTCCAATTTTGATAATTTATTGGTTCAAATGGTTATCAGGTACTAATTTTTGGACTTGCCGCTTGTTTTTCTCTTTTGAATGCAGAGTTGGGAATGGACAAGTGCCAATATTATCCCTCGGCTATTGAAAGTTATGGAATCATGCATGGCTGAGAATGTGATTACTGGAATTGTTGTTCTCCTTGGTCAGCTTGGGAGGTATGCCTTTGATTAATTTGCCTTGCATTTTTCTTTTTCTTTTATTTTTTTCGCTGGAATTATTGTTTCTTTACTTTCTTCTAATCTTTATATTAGGCCAAATGTCATAATGCTACTTGTGCCAGGACTTGAGTTTAACGATATGTTACTCAATTTCAGGATCGGAGTTAATGCCCTTGGATATGGAGATAAAGAAGTTGAATTCTTGAGGGGGGAATTATCTGCATTTTTATGTAGGGACTCTGCAACAAGTGTCGGCCTTCCTACTCAAATTGCCACTGTCACGGCATTGTTGGGGCTTCTCTCTTCTGATTTCAAAACAATTATTCAGAATAATGCAATCTCAGCAGCCATTGGAAGTCAGTTCGGTCCTGCTGAGTCTATAAGAAAGTGGTTTTCTTTGCTGCCGAAGAAGCAACAAGATTTTTCATTCGGCCTTCTGCAAACAGCGGGTATGGAACCTGAGCCTGAGATACCGTGTTGCAAAACTTGATGTGGTCGCAAGGGTTTTCTGATGTGTTGTTGAAATGTACACGCAAATTTTTTAAAGGTTCGTTTAAATTTTCATCTTCTCATTGGGGAGAATTGAGATTAATCGGGAGTAGGAAATTTTGTTGATTTGCACCCCCGAGTAGGGTGGAGAAATTGAAGATTCAGTGACATCCAACGTGAATGCGTTTTTGTTATTTTCACGGAAGAAGTTTGCAAGTTTCTGAGCCGGTTATTGTGATGGAATGAATGTAAATTTTGTTTTGAAACCATTGCATCAGATGAGTAAATTTTTGTTGAGCTTTAACCTTTCCTGCAAATACATTACTTCAATTCTTGATCAACTTACAATGTTGTTCTGCACAAAGTGAAACTTAATAGCCACATCTTAAAATACAGAAGAGAGCAGATCGAAAATGTCTTTGGACAAAAGGACTATTTTAACAATTTGAAGTGAAGAGGTAACATAGTTACCAATTCCCAACACATGGATTGTTATACCATGCACTTGGTATTTTCAGTATGACACAATAGTTTTAGTTACAAAACTTAATTATACGAAATACTTTGGAAATTATTTAATAACGATAAAACTTGCAAATATTTTATAATGTTTCAGCGTACGACAAGCACATGATGAATAATAGACGGAAAGTGTGGTCAAGTATCCAATGGCCATGTTTTAGCATACAACATGCACATGATGGTTTCACTTGTACATACGAGAAAACCCCAAAAATATATATTTTAAGAGTTTGCTTGGTAAAGGAAAAGGAAAAAGAAAACCACTTTGTTAGGGGTTTATATCAAAATTGAGCACCAAAACAAGGGAGGCTCAAAGCTCAAGCGGTGTGGGAAGAACCTTCTCGTGTCTCTTTCTTCCAATTTCTCTTTTGACACGTCGATACAACAAAACAACAAAGCTTCCTCTCTTTGCACAATCAAAGTTGAAAAGTCATGTGGTATGAAAGCTTATACCAGCTGGTAATCCTTCACTCTAGGAAATCTTAAAAGGCTTATGCTGCTTGGTAAGAAAACATTAACTTTTCTAATTGCTAGCTTTTCACATGCTGGTTAATCCATACATTACCCTAGAAAATATCTGGTGATAGGCATTTCTTACTGAAGTTGTTTGGCCTGTTATCTGCATATGAAAGGCTCATATGAAAAAGCACTTAACTTCTTCATAGATAAGATACCAAACCAGAAGAAACATTTTGTTTCAAACCTCTGTGATTGGAAACAAAGAAGGAAGAGGAGGAATGCTTTGTTCATTTCTGAAGAAGTTATCTGGATCAACCTTGCTCTTCACTTGTGCCAGCCTCTTGAAGTTACCCTTGAAGTACCTTGTTCTCCAAGCACTTGCCACCAAGAAGCTTGTGTTGTCTTCCTTGTTGGCACCCAGATCAAGATCCTTGTAATGTACTGTATGTTGAACAAATTACCTTTTCTGTGAGGAAATGGAGTTTCATATTCTGAAATCTCATTCATTCTTCCACCATATGGATCCAAAATCATGTACACATTTTGTTCCTGCTGAAACCTCTCCCAAATCCCTTGGAGTCCCGGTTCGGGTATTGGGTTCTTCACAAAGTCGGATTTGGCTTTGAAATTCATCTTCCAGAGGGGATTTTTGGATAGCAATGAATCGAGCATCTACGACATTATCAGCTGCCAGGCCGTGCTTCCTGATTAGGATTCCAAACCCACCTCCACTCAAGTGCCCTCCAATACCAACAGTAGGGCACAATCCTCCTGAAAATCCATGGACCCAACTTTTCTTGGCAATGCTATAATAAAGCTCACCAAGTGTGGCTCCTGACTGAGCCCAAGCTGTCTCATCTGCAAGGTTGACCTCAATGTACCGGAGATTGATCAAGTCAATGATGATAAATGGGGTTTTGCAGAGGTAAGATGGGCCTTCATAATCATGTCCTCCACTTCTAACCCTGACTTGCAAGCCAAGTTTCTTGCTGCAAAGAACAGCTGCTTGGATTTCAGACTCATGGAAAGGTCTGACAAGGCTATTTAAATGTGGAGTCATTGACCCTAACATATGATACAATGTTGAAATTTTTGTATGAAAGTGTAATTTATAATTAATTTTTTTATAATCTGCAAAAATATCAAGCTATAGTTTGCTGATATGTAAAAAAATTAAGCATATAGAGGCTAAGGATTGTCCTCATTTTTGGTCACTTAAGCACTAGTAGAAAGAGTCAACTGAATTCATTCTTATTAATGAAGTAGAAGACGTAGCCAATTCCACTTGGTGCAACATTGGCACAACATATGGGCTAATGCACGTGGGACTTCCGTATGCTCTGAGTTCTGCATGGTTGCAATGTGTGGTCGAACTACATATTCCACCTGCCAACTTACAAAGCTCCATCTAGAACTAGATCTTCACATATACCTTTAATGAACCGACTGGCTCTTCTCTTTGACATTATCAAACGTGATGTGGCAGCTGATTTGCATGCCACATTACTTAATTAAATGTTTCAAGAACACACCTAAAAGGGGCACTCGATACAAGGGGTTGATTGTTGTCCACATTACTGATCCACTGGTTTTTATGTTTCTCATTGTTCTTCTAAGTCGTAAACATCTTCGTGGAAGTGCCACATAGGTTTTTTCTGGGATTCTTCTTTTGAATTATTTTGGATATAAGGAAGCTTCGCTGCGTTTGTAGTTTGAAGATGATTTATTACGATAATCGTCATGTATTATCGGAAAGTTTGAGACTCGTTATTCCAGTCATCAAGAAAATTAGCAGTTTTACTTGACATTATTAAGAGTTTCGTACAGGAAAGACTTCTAACTACATCAGAGATCATAACATATAACTTAAGTTATGATTATAAGAGGTTGTTATCTCATCATTATTTTAAGGGTTCTTTAGAAAAAGACCTTTGAAACTCCTATTTTCCAAACAAAAACCCACATAATATTAAACATCCAAATAAAACCCAAATTTCAAATAGAGTACCATGTAGACAAATATGTAACCAATTATTATCACATATTTACAACTTATGCCACAAAACTCTAATTATGTCAATAAATATTATTACTCACCCTAATTATGATTAGCAATTAACCCCATATGGAAATTTTACCTTTCTTGTATGATAAATATTAGGAATATATATATATATATACACATGCATACATTTAGTCATGTTCATAAACAATTATGGGCACATTTTTCGTATGGAAAAAAAAAAATCCTTTGTACAATTAGTTATTTTGCATCAAATAATAATATTATTTGATAAAAACAACAAAGAACCAATTAATATTCTTTTATGTTGTAGGTAAATTATTTTACCTAGATTATTACATACATTAGGCATTTTTTGTTTGTTATCATATATGCTTGTTAAAAATAATTTATCTATATTTATATGTAAAATATAAGAAAATTAATTTTGAATCAAATAGCATTTATTTTGTAGGTAAATTAAAATAGTAGCTCCATTATTTTGGTAAAGTTAAATAGTGCCTAAATTATTTCGTAAAAACTAAACCAAGACAAATTATTTCCATTAAAATAAAACAGTACATATTCGACAAAAAAAATAAAAAATAAAACAGTAGATGCATTATTTTCTTATAAGATTAAACAATAGGTAAATTATATTGTAGGTACATTATGTTTGTAATATAAAAAAAAATTGAAGTTCATAAACAAAAAGTAGTAGATATTTTATTTTTTAATCAAATTTCCTTATTTTAGGTGAATTATTTTCATGTATTATTATGTATATTGGGCACATTTTACTACTAATATATATGTGTGCAATAATTTACCTATATTATTATATAAAATATGGATGAATTTATTTTGAATCAAATAACATTTTTTATTTTATAAGTTTTTTTTTTTTTTTTTTTTGAGTTGAAACGATAGCAATTTTATTAATGTCAAGAAGACGACATACAATCATCCAAGAGGGTACCCTAGAGTTAATTATTTTGCGTGTATCATTACATATATAGGGCAAATTTATTACTAATACACATGTCCAAATAATTTACCTATATTTTTTAAATATAGGTAAATTATTTCATAGTGCTCTTTCAGATTTTCATTTGGTAAGAAAATGACAAGATTAAATTAAAATTGTCTAATTTTATGCAAATTTAAAAAAAAATTACAAAATCTTAAGGAAAGTATATAACATTATTAGTTCTTTTTTACCTTAACATACAATTTGTTTTGATATATTAATGCAATGATTATAAACATTAATACATTTTTTTCATTAATCTCTCCCTTCAAATCTGCATAGAATTAAATGTCTACATCAAAACTGTAATTAGGGGTATTTTAGGCATCTGAAAAATGAAAAATGTGTAAAGGCATACAAAATTAATGAATTTGCTTATGTGGAGCCTAGTCATTGGGTTTTATTCAAATAAAAAGACTATGTCGGATTTTATGTAAAGAAACTTGAGTTTCAGGGACTAAAGTTATATTTTCAGTTATTTTAATCCTATCATTAGGCTTTGCTAGGTCTGAGAACTGGCTTGGGCCTTATTAATGCCCTCTCGGCCCAATAAAGTAACTCAAGAGTCAAAACAGGAATATCCGATACGCAGCCGCAGGTCCAATATGTCACAGCCCGTCCCGGAATTTTAATTCCGAGGACATGAAAAGATGAAAATGCCCTTAAACGGGACTAAGGGGCGAAAATTTAACAATTTGGATTGAGTTGGACACGTGGGATCCCCACATCCCTCAAAACCTTCCCCAATTCCCGTACCTTGTCTCTCTATCTCTCTTCCCTCACGACTCTCTCTCACTCTCAGTTCTCTCTCTTCCTCTCCGACGCTCAACCTCACCCAAAACCACCTAAAACATAAACAAACGTCCAAGATAAGACCACATTTGGACTCCTGGAACTTCCACGATCACGTAGACATCAATTTCAGGTAAGTTTTGCTTCGAAAAACCCTAGTTTCAAAGTTCCCGTGAAATGGTACTGTTCATGATCTTCTAAATGACTACGTTTTAGGCTAAAACAAGATCACAGCGGGCTTAGTGAGGTCCCAAGGAAGCTCGGAGTGCTTCGTTGGAAGTTTTTGGACGTAAGAACACGGAGATTGACAAGTTCAAAGTTTGGCCGGAGCTTTCGAGGAATTTTCCGGCGAATCCCCGGCGAGTTAGGAGTCGAGGTAGGTATCTATCTCTTCGTCTCGTCAAGTACTACAACTTTCCTTTTTGTTTCACTCAATTTCGTTGAGTATTGAAGAAGTTATACTCATTTGAAAAATACCCAGTTTCCGGCGACCTCCGAGGCTTTCGAGGCATTTTCCGGCCAAAATACGGCGAACTAGGTGTTGTGCAAGGTACCATTCTCTTTGTCTCTTCAAGGGCTACAACTTTCGTTTTTGAATCACTTGATTTCGTTGAGAAATGACAAAGTTATGGCAATTTGAAAAACTGCCCGGAAAACGGCCGCCGGAAAAACCAGTCCGGCGACCCAAGGAAGAAGAAGGTGCTACAGTAAAAATAAAAAAATAAAAATAAAATTATTTTAAAAATATGTCGACGTCCGTGACGTCGAGTAGATCACTGTGGTATATTCATATACCTAAATTGAACACCGTATGAGAAAGTTATTGAGGATTGTTGGTTAGGTGTTCAAATAACGTTTTATAATTTTCACATTTAGGTGAAAATGTGAATTGACGATCCGACCGTTGGATCGTCACCAAACTTTGATACGTTGCAATACGTAATATTTGAGGATTATTGGAACTTACAGATTGGGAATCCGATTTGCGGATCTTCCGGAATTGGAATTGTAAGTCCATAATATAAAATGTTAACCGTCACTTAGTTTTGGAAATTGACGGAGATCCGACCGTTGGATGGTAATGAAATTTTAGGATGTTGTCCTAGAGGTATAATGTGGACCTCTGGAAGTTATGGATTTAAAATCTGAGGGGTGGATCTTCCGGATCAATTTACGTAGTGACGTATTTTATATAAGTTATATATTTTATCGATATGAATTCTGAGGTTGGAATTGATTATTGTTTTAGGCGCCGATCGTCATGACGCCTTGGCGTATTGTGCTAGGGAGTTGTAGGGCGAACTCCAGGTGAGTGGGCAGTTTTGTTTTCCGTATATATATATATATACTTGACGTTTCCCAGAAATTGAATTGAAATGAAAATATGTTTAAAATGAAATGCATATGAGTTATGTGGAAAAACGGGAAGTGAAATACCATGCATAGAATTGATATGAAAAGTATATAGAAATGTGAGTTGAAATGCCATGCATGAATTAATATATGATGCATATGTATGAATTGGTGCGGTGGACGCACAAGTAAGAATTGATTTATGATGCATATGTATGAATTGGTGCGGTATATGCATGAATTGGTGCGGTGGACGCACAAGTAAGAATTGATTTATGATGCATATGTATGAAATGGTGCGGTGGACGCACAGGTGAGTATTTAATTACTGTTATGATGATGATGATATATATTGAGCTCAAATCCTGCACCATGGTTTAGTGCTTATAGTATTCACCGCATCGCACGCTCGCCTTGGATCCAAGTAGATGCTAGTCGTACAGTCCACGCGGAGTGGGTACGACAGACCAGTCGCGAGAGTGTTAGTGAGATTCCGACTGGTGGGTGACCTTAGATTATGTGCACAGATGATTTATGAGAAGCACTAGAGCGTAACTTGCGTGCAGAAGGCCGGACGGGTCACAGAGGTGACTCCGATAGAGTGATAATGATAGATTTTGAGCTCTAGGTTCAACCGTACAGGGCTATTAGAGGGCCTACGGTTGATTACTTTCTTGCACCTGATATGATTATGTTGATGCATTCATACCTTATTAATGTTGAGATGATGTGGCATGGCATAATTAATATGAGAAATGTTGAGATGATGTGGCATGGCATAACTGATATGAAAAATGTTGAAAAAGTGAAATGAAGTATTGAGAATATATATGTATATTTATATATTTTACATTTCTGGGAAAGTATACAGGTTTTACGGAGA